ATGACATCTCCTGGCCAAACCCCATTTGGCGGAGCCAGGAGATTTAATCGTTATCCTCAGGGCTCCTCCAAAAACAACAAAAAGCCACTTTGGATGGCCACGTGGAATGTTCGAATGCTCACTGCGTAGGAGAGGCTGCCACTCCTCTGTTGGGAGCTGGACTGATACTGCCTGGATCTCTGTGGTATTCAGGAGATCCGGTGGACTGGGTCTGGCTCCTGCCACCATGAGGGGTGGACAGTCCTCTACTTGGGGCAGGAGACTACCAAACAACAGGGAGTGGCTCTTCTTCTGAACAAAAGAATGAAGGGGGTGTGGGAGCGTGGCGGTGAGGTGCGGGAAGCGGTAAGCCCCAGACTACTTTAGGCTCGCCTTCCAATCAACCAGAGGCGAGGAGTGGTGGTCGTGGTTACTTATGCCCCCACCGAAGACGAACATCCATGGAGGAATGCAGGCAAGGCCGATGAGTCAGATGCCTTCTATAACCTCCTGTCACAGGTGCTAGCTAAAGTGACCCCTCGGGATAGAGTCATCCTGTTGGGCGACTTCAATGCCTGAGTTGGTCATGATACTGGGCACTTGGTCTGGAGTGATTGGAAGGCATGGGCCAGATCAGCTCAATAACAACAGCAGGTGGTTGCTAGATTTTTGTGCAGCCCATGGGCTTGTAATTACCAACACGCTGTTCCGGCATCGGCACATCCACACATCATGGATGCATGCCAGGTTCAAGCAAGAACATTTGCTGGACTACGTAGTGATGGAACAGCGAATGCGGGCCCATGTACTTGACACCAGGATCTACCGTGGAGCTGATCTGCCCACTGACCATCGACTTGTCATCTGTAAGATGCGCCTGCCATTCTTCCACTCCGGTGGTGGGTGTACACCCAGGACCCCATTCAAACCTAAGGTGGCCTGGCCTCAGCTCGCTGATGAAAGTTGCAAGCAAGAATTTAATCATCGCTTGTGGCTGGGGTTGGCATCGTGCCCCACTCCTCCAGATGTCGAGGGTAAATGGGCGAGGTTTAGGACTGTGACTCATGCAGCTGCAATGGCTGCTTTGGGTACATGGTGCAGACCTCCCCAGAGACCCTGGATGACAGAGGTGTTCAAGCTGTCTGAGAACAAGCGACAGGCCCACTCTCATTGTCTACAGCATCCCACGTCAGAATGGAGGCTTACTGCAGCCTTCATTTGGAGGTTCGGATGGTTGGTGGTAGCGGGTTGCTGAGGAGATGGAGTCTGCCTCAATGGCTCACGACCACAAATCACTATTTAACTCCACCAAAAAGAGTAACCTGCAGCGCCACACCTATTACCATCATTTGGGGAAAAAACGGTGAACCAATCTCCGACCTCCAGGAATAAGTTTGCAGATTTGCTGAGCATTTCTGTGAAGTCCTAGGGGAGGGGAAATCCCTCGGCATGGAAAACATCGTGGGACAAAGCGGGGATGACCCTGCTGAGGCTGAGGTGTCTCAAATGTTGGAAGAAGTAACCCACTGTGAGTGGCTGGCTGAGGTGCGATCTTTTGAGGAAGTCCTAAAGACGATCCAGAGTCTGAGACCAGGAAAGGCACCGGTCAAAGATGATCTCCCAAGCGAAATTCTGAGGGAGGTTAGCGTTTGTGCAGACTGCCCTGCATGACATCATAACAACAGTCTGGACCACTGGACGGGTTCCGCAGGATTGAAATGATGCCCTGGTGGTCCCTTTCTTTCAGAAGGGAGACCACACAGACTGTAACAACATCTCGCTCCTCAGTGTGCCGGGAAAGGTCCTGGCAATGATTATTCAACATCGCCTTGCCAAGCACGTTGAGGAGAGGCTTGCGGAGCAACAATGCGGTTTCAGGAAAGGGCGGTCCTGCACAGTAGCCATTTTTTCTGTCTGTTTGCTACAGCAGAGGTGTAGGGAATTCCAACAAGGCCTAGATCTCTGCTTTATTGACCTGGTCAAGGCCTATGATACCATCAGTAGGCCTGGGCTCTGGGTTGTTCTTCGTGCTTTCGGAGTCCCTGACCCTCTGCTCAAGCTCAATAAGGACCTTCATGATGGTGAGCGGGCCCGGGTAAAACTTTGTGGCCAGGAGTCATAGCCATTCCCTGTTCACCTTGGGGTGCGACAGGGATGTCCTCTGGCTCCCACATTATTTTACATATTTTTCGACCATATAGTTCGTGAAGGTTTTGATGGCTGTGTAGTGTCGTTGCCTGCACTTGCAGGCAACGACAGACATCCCAGAAGCGGTTGAGGCTTGTGAGGGGTCCTATGATCCCCAAAAGGAATTTCCATCTGGTACAGATACAATGGGAGGCTGATGCCCGGGTGTGGTCAAGGGATGGCTCCCCGTTGGTCAACCATGTTATGTATGCCGATGATCTGGTAATTGCCGCTCACTCAGAGGAGCTGGGGGCGCCGCTGCTGAACCTGGAGCGTGGCACAAAGAGGTGGGGCCTTACCATCAGCCCCACCAAAACTAAGCACCTGCCTGGTTATTTTGTACTATCAGACACTCAACCCACACAACTCCCAATCGGTGATGGGGCAGTTGTGGAGAGAGTGGAGAGTTTCGCATACCTGGGTAGTGTGCTCATGACCAGTTCCGGATTGACAGTGGTCTCACTCCAAATCAGTCGAGCGGCATTATTTTTTAATCGGTTGCATAACGCTGTGTGGAAGCTACCTTGTCTGTCGCTTCGCACGAAGCTTCAGGTCTTCTCGGCCACAGACATTCCCTCCCTTCTCTATGCTTGCGAAACATGGACCCCCCTAATGGAGCATCTTCGCCGGTTGGAATAATTTAGGCTGGCCTGCCTACGATCGATCCTGGGTTTAACCAGGCTGGATTGTGTGAGCTCACAAATCCTTGAATGATCTGGACAAAGTCCCATCGGTGAGCTCCTCTGGCAGGCAAGGCTGCGTTGGCTGGGTGATGTAGCCCGCATGCCCAGTCACCGCATGTCTAAACAGCTTTTGTTCGGCCGGATCGAGGGGGCTAAACAGGCACGGCACAAGCGAGACAAGAGATGGAGTGATGTGGTACAGGAGGATGTGGAGCTGAGTGGATATGCTGATGACTGTTATCAGTGGTGTCAGGATCGGCCTCTGTGGAGGCTCGTGAAAGACGCTGCTGGGCAGTTGGAGGCAGTCGCCCTCCAACAAAAACAGAGGGCGGAGGAGTGAAGCTCACAACGAGAAAAGTGCCAGGTGGCTAAAGCACAGTAAATTGGCACAGTAGGGGGCACAGGTGGTGTATCAGCAATTTATCTCAGTAAGTGGACCCGTGGCACCTGGGTTTGCCCCATGACATCCTGTCAGCGGGCGTTCGACACATCACGTGGCCTCAAGATGCACTGAATTTAATTTACAAGATCGCATTGATTATATTGGTAAAAAACAAAAAAAATGGTTTTATGTATCGACACAAACACTGCTTCCCCACTATGTTCTGCTTGGAATTGATAAAAGCTACCGTACTGCCTCTAATTGATTACTGTGACATCAGTACTTTACTGAAGAAGCTTGACTCAATTTATCACTCGGCCTTAAGATTTGCATTGAACTGCCAATATACGACCCACTACAGCGATCTCTACATTGGGTCAAACTTAATTTCTCTTAATGATCGACGGCTTGTGCATCAGATCTTATTTATTCACGATGTACTTACAAATAAATCAGCAGACTACCTGCTGGATCTCCTCAGTTTCGAAGAACAAATGTGACCTAATGTCTTCGCTCATTTACCAGCTTCACATTCCTTATTGCCATACAAAAACTGTAGGAAGGGCCTTTTCTATTGATGACCCCAGGGTCTGGAATGCTATCGCCAATAAACCGCAACTTGGATCACTACCTGCGAGATCCTCACTCAAAACTGCTCTCGAGGAGTGGCACACCCCTAGCTGCCACTGCTATTCAGAATGGCCTGAAATCAAATGTATCGCTCCGGATGACCGCTGCAAAATATGATCTTGAGTTTTGATTATAGTGTGCTGATCATTAAAGATGTATTAAAACAATTTATTCTGCTACTGATACTCCTGCTGTTATAGAGTGGCTCATGCAGCCAAATGTGGCTGCAATGTTTGCTTGTACATGTTATGTATATCGTTTATTGTTAAATTTGAATCACAGTTCCTATGATCACTGTTACATTGTTTTATAGCTTTCTTTTGGTGATTTTGAAAACGTTTTGGTTTAGCCATGTTTGTTTGTTGTAGTACAGAGTTCGCCTGATAACTTTAATCTACATTGTCTTATGGTTGTTATTGTTTGACTTGCATCCCACTGGGATTTTTGCACACAGCGTTGATATACAGTGTTTTTTCTGGAAGACTTTGCTGTTTTTTCTAAGGATTTTTCTGTTGTGTGCAGTCACTTTAAGATGTTTCTTGTTCATGTTTTTGTTTTGTTGCGGTTGCACCCTAGTCAAGAGCCGCATAGCTTACAGGGTTATTCCTAATAAATGAAACTGAAAACTGAAAAACATAGCCTGGCACAAGCGTCGTGGTGATGTCACCACCACTTAGTGGAGAACGGCAGTTGTTGTCTTCTTGCTAACTTGAGTGCTGCGTTCCTTGTACCGAAAATACCTCAGGTCCCCAGTAGAGGCGCTGGGTCAGCGTGTGTTGAACACGGTGCTCTTGGCTGCTTTGTCAGTCTCTCTCCACCGCTGGGGTGATTGTCGAGTAGGCACGCTGGTCACTCTTTGGCGGTGCCTGTGCTGGCAGGGATGATGGGTCCGGCTCCAACTGCATCGATGTGCGCGATGATCCTGTCACCAGAAACCACTCGCAGCTCGTCCGCTGGTTGTCGCGCGTCACCCCCCTTGGCACCAGACACTGTTGATCCTTGCAGACTGTGGAGCAACTTGAAGAGACAGCGCATGTCGTCTCCCCCCCCCCCCCCCCCTTCAAAAGAGTCCTCTTCCAGTTGTTTGTACGACTCGTGCTGCAGAGGACACGCTTCAGATCAAGTTATATCGTTCCGTGTCAGTCTCTGATCCGACCCTCAACTAAACTTCGCCTGTGGGTTGCGATTTCAAGGGGCACTCTCACGAATAGTGGTTGCACCAGTTTTCCTTCAAAGGGTTGACTTTGATCTCAGCACAATCCGAACGATTGTCACTCTATGATCATAAGTGTTGCCTGTACAGAGCAACCTCGCCACCGGGAATAGTAATGCTACGCACTCTTCCCCACGTTTGTATTGCAATACTGAGCACCAGCCTTAGCTGGCAGCCTCTCTCAATGACGCAACAAAAAACTCTCCGTGATGCGTGGTTTCTACCGATGCAGAACTCCCTATCAATTTGCCAGTCACGAGGGCAATCCCCGGAGATTGACTCAGTTTTTCTTTAGTATGGCATTGTGAAAAGCAAGTTTTTATTTTTAATGATCGTCATGAATGAATGCAAAGGTTCCTTATCCAGTCCAATGATGTGGTTGACGCAGTGTGGATTTTAGCGATACCGCCAGGATGTGCATGGATGGAGCATTCATCAGTGATGTGCTTGATGGTTTGGACTTCTCCAGTCGCAGTTGGGAGATTCGTTAAGCAGTACTGATTTCTGTTTTTGCATTCTTGCTTATATCAGAATTTTTCCACCTGCTGTATATATTGAGTCTGAAAAATTATAAAAATAAATTTTTTTTTAAACTGAAATTTGTCCGAAATTATGCTAATTTATTTAATTATGAAAATGTTGCATGTATGTTAATTAGGAAGTTATGCAAGTATGTAATTATACTAATGTATTCAATTCTGATAATTAGGCTCTGCCTGGTTGTCTAGGGTGAACTATCAATCGGGATAATACAATGGTGTAATTGTATGAAGTTATGCAAGTGTATGTAATTGTGCTAATTAGGCTCTGCTTCGTTGTCTAGGGTTGTATTATCAATCAGGATAATACAATGATTTTCACTTTAACTTTTACTTATTATGTCTTAGTGTTATGTCAGGTCTCAAAATTCAGATCTCTCCGCAGGATACAGTTCTTATAATTAATATTATTATGCATGAACTTAGGAAGGCACCACTCAAGACTCTTCTGTGTTAAGCAACTTTAATCTCTAAAAAACACATAACATTCTAATATGCAAACTCTTATGCTAGGAATGCCAACACAGTACTCTTTGAGATGTCCTCCTCATTGATCCGTACATTTAACCCTCAATAATTGTTTATCAAACTGGGTAACAGAACAATTGGCTCATTCTTCAGAGTAAGGTGATCATATACAGCAACAGTCCTTAAAATTAATGTGACCATATTCATACGAACAGTAATAAAGAAACATGTGCCTAAGCAAAGGTAGACCTCAATGAATTCATTTGTAAGATTATGCAATTAACGTAATGCCTTGGAACAATGGTGTGCGGTAGTGTGCTTGCTTGTCTAACAAATGTTTATCAATTGGCTAAGGGCTTTAATAAATTCGCGGGCAAGATTATGTGATGGAAAGAAAGCTTTTAACACAATTGTATCCCTGTGTGTGTGGATTCGTAACATAGATGTTTATAAATGTTAGTTTCATCAATGAATTCATTGGTATAAATTATGCAATTAACAAGAATGACTAAAATACTTCTAAACGAGACGGCTTTCTTTCAAGCCTCGTCTCAAACGGTGTTTGACCAGAGGACGCTGAAAGGCGTACAGCAAAAAGACAATGCACAATCAGAACAATGGGTGCCAAAAGGCGTGCTCTTTTGAGTGTTTGTGATGAGATATGATACAAAACGCCGAGTTGCTGAGGCGATTGACCAAGCACCTTATAAATGCTAATATTATTATAACATAGTGAATGCTTGGGAGCTTATTGGCTCTCGCTCCTAGTTAGAGATCTACCCAACCCACAGGTCCGCAAATACTGACCGCTCTTACTCTGCAGGTTGAACCTAGGAATTGAGTGTTCAACTTCACATTATTATCATTAAAGGCCTGTGACAAAGGTGAATCTATTGGAGCTTCATTGTCTCAAGCTTACACATCTACAGGGTCTCCATTTGACTTTGTATTGTCTAAGAAGTCCACCCACATTTCCACTTCCACAAACTGCTGGGAGTTGCCTCGCTCTGCCTCACAGTCAGAATTCTCCTCCTGCTTCATGTTGCCTCCATTGATGTGAAGGTCTGATTTTGGAGTTGAATGTTCATCTTCACATTTTACCATCACTTCTTCGCTCTTCATCACATCTTCACATTTTACCTTCACTTCTTCGCTCTTCACTGTCGCCTCTTCACATTTCGCCTCTTCAAATTTCACCTTGATACATTTCATAGTGTCCAAGCTGGAATTTGCTTCTGGTTCTTTTTTCAGGAGGGATGGGCTCATTGCAGCACTTTGACTTTCACAAGTCGATTTAAGACGACACTCCTTGGGGATCTTGCGATGCCTGTGTGTTCTCTGGTGTCGATGAAGAACTGATGACTGTGCAAATGCCTTCTCACACACACTGCACTTGAAAGGTTTCTCGTCTGTGTGTGTTCTATGGTGTTTTTTAAGATAATATGACTGTGCAAACACCTTACTGCACAGAGTGCACTTGAAGGGTTTATCTCCCGTGTGTGTTCTCTGGTGTTTTTTAAGATTTGGTGACTGTGAAAATTCCTTCTCACACACACTGCACTTGAAAGGTTTCTCTCCAGTGTGTGTTCTCTGGTGTTCTTTAAGATGTGATGATTCTGCAAAGCACTTCCCGCAAAGGGTGCACCTGAAAGGTTTCTCTCCTGTGTGTGTTCTCTGGTGTTTATGAAGATGTGGCGACTGCGCAAACGCCTTCCCGCACAGAGTGCACCTGAAGGGTTTCTCTCCTGTGTGTGTTCTTTGGTGTTTTTTAAGATTTGGTGACTGTGAAAATTCCTTCTCACACACTGCACTTGAAGGGGTTATCTCCTGTGTGTATTCTCTGGTGTATTTTAAAATAAAATGAACTTGAAAATGCCTTCCCACACACACTGCACTTGTTTGGTTTCTCTCCTGTGTGTGTTCTCTGGTGGATCTGAAGACCTGATGCCCATGCAAATGCCTTCTTACAGACAGTGCATTTGAAAGGTTTCTCTCCTGTGTGTGTTCTCTGGTGGATCTGAAGACCTGATGCCCATGCAAATGACTTCTCACAGACAGTGCATTTTAAAGGTTTCTCTCCCGTGTGTGTTCTCTGGTGTAATTTAAGATGCGATGAATCTGCAAATGCCTTCCTGCAAAGGGTGCACCTGAAGGGTTTCTCTCCTGTTTGAGTTTTCTGGTCCTGTGTCAAATTTGCAGTACAATCCATGCTGTTTGCATACTGGTCCCATTGTTGCCTTTTTGTACCGAGCTGCGCTGAGTGCCTTTTCTCCATCAGACCAATTCTGCAGAGGAAGTGTCAGAAGAAGCGTCAGCTGCAGACAGAAAAAAATATACACACCATCTATGTCAGTATCGAGACACAAGAGGAATGAATATATTAACAGTCACACATGACTTACACGTCTATATTTATTCATATATTCAAGATATTCCCCAATTCATCACACGGGCTGTTAAGGCACACAATGAGAGGGCAAATGGTTACATGCCTGGAGGCCCTAGTATCTTCAAAATAAATGTTAACCCAAAACACCAAGAACACAATTTCGGCTGCCTGGCTACAAAAGCAAATTTGATTCCAAGAACACAGGATGAGATGTTACTATCATTTGTGCAAGCACTTCCAAGAGTTCATGAACAGTCAGCCTGGTGAAATTTGGGGAGCGCATCGTCAGTAGTGTACCTTTGGTTCCTAGGGTGTTTCGGCCTTTCACACTATACACCCTCCCCAAAGGCGGCCAGCGACAGGGTGATCAATCCTACGCTTGCGTCCCATTCCCAATTAGTCATAGGAGTTGCCTTGTTGTTGATAGCCAACATCCCATGGGACTATGCATGGCAGGGGCGTCCTCCTCCCTGAGTCAAGCATTGTTGACCGCATACCTCCTGGCCCTCTCACTTCGGGGCCCAGCTGGGGTCTTTCCTCTTCATCCAGAGCCACTGACTGCTGCCTTCTGCCGCCTCCGATACAGCTCTGATTGCCGAATGCTGGCTCTGGCCCTTAATTCCCAGGTCTCTAAGCAGTCTGGTTGTAGATGTTGCCACAAAACCTCTGCAGCCCACCTCCACTGGTCGGACTTCTGTGTTCCAGCCATGATGCCGTGCTTCGGCAGCTAGATCGGCATAGCGCAGATGTTTTCGCTCATAAGCCTCATCTACTGAGTCCTCCCAGGGTACTGTGAGCTCAATAATGAAGACCTTCTTGAGCGAACGGGACCAGAGCACCATGTCAGGTCTTAGGGTGGTGGTTGCGATCTCCGGAAGAAACACAAGTTGCCGGCCAATGTCAGCTAGCATTTTCCAATCGCGGGCCAAGTGCAGCTGGTCTTGCTCTAATGGTGTAGAGCCGCTCTTCGGTGGTTTAGCTCCTTCGCGGACAAAGGTTGTCCATAAGTGGTGTGATGCTGCTGGGGGTGGTAGGGAGTTGGTGGCAGCTCGCTTGTCCTCCAGGGCGGATGCAAGGTTTTTAAGGACTTGGTTGTGACGCCAAGTGTAGCGTCCTTGGGTGAGGCTTGTTTTACACCCTGTGAGAATGTGCCTGAGGTTGGCTGGCATGGAACAGAGGGCACAGTCCGGATCTTCACCATACCATTGGTGAAGATTAACTGGTGTTGGAAGGACGTCATATGTTGCTCTGATGGAAAAGCTCAACCGTCTCGCTTCCTTGGCCCACAGATCCTTCCAGCTGATCTTCCTCTTCTCCACACTGTCCCATCGAGTCCACTGTCCCTGTTTGGCAAGAGAGACTGCCTTGGCCCACCTTGCAGCCTCCTCCTGATGGTGTACTTCCTGCACTTCCATCTTCTGCCGCTCTGGTGCAGTGGCCTTACTCCAAGCAGCACGGCTAGTTAGCCCAAGGCCTCCTCTCCCTTGCTGAACATGACCCACAATGTCAGCATGTCTGAGGGCTGCTGTTGCCTCCTGGACTGCTTTTCCTGGCCTCCATTTGCGCCCAGTTGCCAAGGTCGGCGCGTTGTTGCTCACCACTGGGTCTCGAGATTCATTCAGTGTCATCTGGAGCCTGGTTTTTGCACACTTGAATTCCTCTGTTAGACTGGTGAGGGGCAGCTTGAGGACATCATCTCCATAGAGGCCTATGGTGGTAAGGCATCGTGGAACTCCGAGCCACTTCTTTAAGTAGCCTGTGACTCCTCTTTCCATCTTCTCCACTGTTGAGATTGGAACCTCATACACTGCTAGGGGCCACAACACCCGGGGTAGGAGACCAAACTGCAGACACCAGGCCTTTAACTTTCCAGGTAGCTGGGTGTTGTCGATGGACTGTAGGCTACTACTGATGTCTTTGCGCAGCTGTTGCACCTGGTCTTTGTCCTTCAGGCTTGCATCATACCACCTTCCAAGGCTTTTTACTGGCTGCTCAGACACTGTTGGGATTTGGTCATCTCCGATGTAGAATTTCAGGTCAGAGAGTACTCCCTTCACAATCGAGATGCTGCGTGACTTGGATGGTTTAATCTTCATACGGGCCCAGCTGATGTTCTCCTCGAGTTTTCTGAGCAGTCTCCTGGTACATGGGACAGTGGTGGTCAATGTTGTAATGTCGTCCATGTAGGCTCTGAGTGGAGGGAGGTGGAAACCAGAGTCGACTCGCTGTCCACCAGCAACCCATTTTGAGGATCTGATGAGAACCTCCATTGCCATTATGAATGCCAACGGAGAAATGGTACATCCCGCCATTATACCTACATTCAGGCACTGCCATGAGGTGGTGAACTCTGAGGTGGTGAAGCAGAACTGCAGATCCTTGAAGTACGACTTCACCAGGGTTGTGATGGTGTCCGGTATGTGGAAAAATCTGAAGGCAGACCACAGGAGTTCATGGGGCACAGAGCCAAATGCATTGGCGAGGTCGAGGAAGACTACATGGAGGTCCCTTTTCTCCACCTTGGTCATTTGGATCTGGTGCCAGATCATGCTGGAATGTTCCAAGCAGCCAGAGGACCCTGATTTTCCTGCCTTCTGTACAGATGTATCGACGTACGCATTCCTTTGCAGGTACTCGGCCATCCTCTGGGCAATGACCCTAAAGAAGATTTTACCCTCGACATTCAGTAAGGAGATTGGGCGGAATTGGCTGATGTTCACTGCATCCTTCTCCTTAGGGATCAGGACCCCGCCTGCCCTACGCCACACTTTGGGTATTATCTTCTTTTGCCAAGCTGTTCTCATAAGCCTCCAGAGGAACCTCAGGACGTCTGGTGCGTTCTTATACACTTTGTACGGGACTCCATTTGGCCCCGGGGCTGATGCTGTTCTTGCCCGTCGAACTGTGTTTTCCACCTCTTTCCATGTCGGAGGGCTGGTCTCAATATGATGTTCCGGGGGTTCAATGGGTGGGATATCTGATGGGATGGCCAGATGTTAATGTCGCTTTGAGTCAAAGTTTGTTGTTCTCAGGTGCTCCTCTAGGTCTTTTTTTGTTGTTTTTAGAGCTCCACTTTTTTCCTTCGTGAAGAGACTTTTAAGGAACTTGAAGGGATCTTTATAGAATCGAGTTCTAGTTTTTTCTTTCTTCCTTCTGCGTTTCCCTAGGTTCTCTGCTCTACGAAGGGATGCCAACCGGGTTTTGATGTCAGCCTGAAGTGCCTCTATGCCCTCCTTTTCCACTTCCGAGGCCTTCTTCCACTGTTTCTTAAGCTGTCTCCTTTCTTGAACGAGGCGCTTGATTTCTTGTTGCCTCCTGGAAACTGGTGGGGTTGGAACCTTTCTCCCGACTTTTGCCTCTTGCACTCCAAAGCTTTCTGCCCCGTACTCATAGATGATGTCCCCCATCCTCTCCAACTTCTTCTCCACTGTGCCTCGAAGTTTCTCGAGGGTCAAGGTAAGGTCAGTATTCACTGTTTCCCACAACTTCTTGTCACTGGCGCCAGGCCACTTCACATACGGTCTGTGCCCTGGTAGTCTCCTCTCGACTGCAGGTCTGGGAGGCTGGGGGAGTTCCACTCCTGTTGTTAGTTCCACCTCAGTTGTTACTTCGGTGCTTGAGTTTACATCCTCCATGACAGTAGTACTGATGCACTGCAAACTATGGTTTGCGTCCAGTTGCTGTGCTTCATTCGACTGATTTGATCGCTTTCGCAGAAAGTAATCAATGCGAGGCCTCTGTCTCTCTTTACCCAAACACCCCTTCTTCCCCTGGTGGATCCTCAACCCATGGTGTGATGTAACTTTCCTCCAACCACAGACACATACCTGCATCTGTTTGTGGCCCGCTGTTGCAGCGGAACTTGTGACAGTTTCTGTGGTGTTCTCTTGTGCTGTGCTCTCATTATTCGTAGTCGTTTCCGGTCCAGTCGTTACCATGTTGTCAGTCGATGAGTCATCTTCCGCCCCCGCTCTCGCAGACTCTAGGGGTATTCTCGTATGTTGACTTTCTGTAGCTAAAGCGGGTGTTTCCAACATACTGCGAAGCATGGGAAACTACAGAAATGGGAAGCTAACCCATGACTGTCCCAGTGGGGTCTATTCCCTCCTGTCAGCCGTCTCTCCGTGCCGCCACAAGGACTTTCCCCTGTTGTCAGCTGATCTTTCTCAGCAGTCACTGGACAAGTCCAGATATTCAGATTCCAAGAACAAAGGATGAGATGTTACTATCATTTGTGCAAGCACTTCCAAGAGTTCATGAACAGTGAGCCTGATGAAATTTGGGGTGCGCATCGTCAGTAGTATATTTAAAAAAGCAAAATTCAGCTAACATAGCAAAGGCTGTTGATAATAATACTATTCTTATTATGCAGAAATGCATTATTAAATGTTCAATCGCAACTTAAGAGGTGTGAAGCCAGATTCAGATTTGCTTGAATGCTCAGATAAAAAGATCAGCTGCATATGTGCTGAGATATTTTCCTGACTGTTTCCATTCTTACAAAAAGTTCCAGAGGAAAACTAAAATAAACTATTGTTTTGATTTAACCTCCATGTACAATTTTTTATATACTTTACTGCAAATACAAACTTGACAATGTCACACACTGGCATAGTAGAAAGGTCGTGGTGTGTCCAGAACCATGCCTGGCCACCTTCATCTGCTTAGTATTAATGCTTCCTCACTTCACCATGTAATTAATTTACGATCAATCAACCTAGCAGAGGCCCACAATAAGTTCAGTTTTCACTTTTCAATCATGTTTGCTTTCGGTAATAATCAAACTAATTGTTGAGTTCATAATGCAAAGAAATAACTGCACTACAGCTCCCCACAAAGATAAACTTTTAAATACACGTACATTTCACTTGGATCATTAACATATT